TTTTTGGATGATAAACATTTGTATCAGGTCGACAAAACATGGGCATAGTAACAATATTTTTATACTACATTTATCCATTTTAAATATAGTAACCTCACTCATTTGTAACAACTAAGGCAAAAATGTAATTAATTCAGAAAATCTTTTCAGGACACCACCTTGATGTTTCGGGACCCCACTTTGGGTCCCGACTCCAACTTTGGGAAACACTGATCTAGAGGACGAYACAAATGGGTGAATATTTTACTTTTTTTCAGAGTATAGTGGATTTAGTATGTAAAATACTCCCTGGTTACTCAGGTTTATGAGGGTAACTTGTTCTGTGGGCTTCTCAACCTGCTTTGTTACCACAAGGTGTTATATGGTGCATAGGATATTTTGTTATAAAAGTATCACATGATGTAGTCAAGAMTAACTACTGGTGCTCAGTGTGTAAACAGAAAACAAAAATGGATAATAGAAGTTTAATTTATAGTCTAAAACACAGTTCAGTTTAAAGTCTGGTTTTCAGTGTTCCATCTTCATAAAACTAATTTCATATTGTTTCATTAATCCCCCAAATTTAGTAAAAGGTTCATTAAATGGCTAAAACTTCAGCGTTTTGATTAGATCTTTTATATATTGGCAGGTATGAGGTTGACTTGTGGTATTCTGTTTCAAATGAATTATATCAACTATTTTAATTGGACAACCTGGTTTCTAAAGACAAAAATAATATYAAATACAATGGTGTGAATATATGTAAATTGGCAGTGAGATTCAGAAAAGTGCTCAATGGGAGCCACCTGAAATCTTGCTTAGGGCACCAAAGTGGCTGGGTGCAGCTCTGGGGTCTCATTTATAAAGGATTGCGTGGAAACCATACTAAAAGTGAACGTACGGCCAAAAGGCGGAAATGGCGTACGCCAAAAAAAATTCAGATTTATAAAACCATACGTACGCACGTTTCTGCGCATCTTTCCTTTATAAATCACAGCCGCACGTCAGAGTTTGCGCACGAGGTCCCGCCTCAGGTTCTACCCTCTACACGCCCACATTCAACCATAAACAGTCAATGTAAAGTACCTCATGAATGTTAAGATGTATTTAAATCAGTCAGATGATCAATGTCAACAAAAGTGATTGGTTCAGACACGCTCCGTCGTGCGTCTGGAGGATGACAGGTGCTGACTGACAGCTGCTCACGTGAACAGATTGTCTGTAATTGACACAGATTTTCCCTCATTTTGCTTTAGAGTAATCTAACGATTTTTATAAAAAACAAAAATAAAAAACCTCAGCTTCAATTCAATCTCCCATCAGAGCCTGCAGGACGATAAAAACAATAAATTAAATAAAATAAGTCAGGTAAAATTAGAAATAAGTCCCCCGCTCTTCTCCTCGTCCTCTCCCCCTCCTGCCTGCTCTGTTACCCGCGGCAGACCCCCGCCCCGCGCGCGCATGCATGCACACACACACGCTCGCTCGCACGCATCCCCCGCGCGCGCGCTTGACAAACACGGACTGGATACACGCGCTGCGCGTGTATCCAAAGCTTTTGCTGTCCTGCTTTTCTTATCGGGGAGGGGTCTGTATGGGTCGGGGTCGTCTGAGGAGGAAGCAGATGAATGGAGTTGCGCACGGGAACTTTTATTTAAGTCTGATTCTGAAGGTAAATTAAATATCCGACAGTGATCATGACACAGTGTGGCTCTAATTCCTCACTTCACCATCTGTGTCGCAGTTTCCCGTCTCCAAAATGAGCGTACGCATGGGTCAAAGCTGGCGTGAGGCTCACATTTTCACGTCAAGTTTAAATTTTATAAATCACAACCTTGGCGTAAAAAGTGGCGTACGCAAGTTTCTGGGCTCAAATTGTGTGTACGCAAGTTTTATAAATCCGACCCCAGGTCCTGATGTTAGCTGCTAATACTAAACATTTTTAATGAATAGAAGGTTTATTTGGAGAAAAAAAAGGTTCATCTGTCTTTGTTGTCATCGGTGAATCCTAATAATTCAATGTATTTACTATTTAGTCTTCTGTTTGTTTTGTTTAGATGTATAGCTTAAAGGCAAGTCTGGGGGGATTTGTCTTTTTCTTTTCTGAGAACAGTTTAAAACGTAGCAAGAGGAAGTTAAAGACTTTTACATAACAGCCTCTTGGCTTACAGGCAATAAGCTGCAGTGACCCCATTAAATGAATACTGATCCAGAAGCTGAGGAAGGATGGAGTTGTGATGCAGACATAGGATAAGTAGATAAAACAGAGAAAAAAATAGTACTGTGAGGAGGAGAAGAGTGGTGAGAAACACAAGGTGCAGTGACCAGGAGCAAAACCCAAAACTGTTGGAGTAAACAGAAAAGATGCAGCAAGAGAGAATGTGCTTAGACTTTTACTTTTATACATCTCACACTTTGGCAACATGTTTTTTACTGGTGATCACTGAATGAAATAGTGTARGAATTAACATATCTAAGAAGCAGACTTATTTAGGGATATATTGAGAAAGAAAGTCCTCTAATTTTGTTCAGTCAAGTGCTCCAAAGGCCAWTGCATGGATCAAGTAGCATGAAGCAATCTTTTCTTCATTACTTTTACTCCAAATTAAAAAAACAGACAATTTCAGATCAATGAAAGAAACATTCTGAAGGACTTAAGAAATAAAAGGTACACAGCAAAATGAATGTGACACCTCTGAAACTTAGCTGCAATGGATTTCTCTAATGTAATTAAAGTATAAATGTTTCAAAGATTCTTCACCTAAACTGGTTTCACTGAGCTGTAGCATTTCAATTAAATAAGCCTGGCAACTCAAGAGCACATTTTGGTATTGGCTAATTTCAGACACKAAAACAAGATAGGGAAAGAAAGAAAATTAAACATATTAGGTAGTTGTAAAATTACCAATTATAGCTCAGACTCACTTTCCTATCCTATTGACCAAAAGCATAAAAGTCTAACTTCACAGCTCAAAACTATCAGTGAGCCTCAGACTGAAAAACAGGATCATCAACACTCAGCTGTGATTATTCTACATCTGCTGCATTGCCAAACTTTAAAAACACAAATGAGATCAGATGTTAAATAAACAGATAATTGTTCAACATTGCCAAATGGACTTTCTCCCATTTTGCCCAMAATCCACTAATCTTGCCAACATCTGGTGCATCCCAAATAGTACAAAGCAGCCAAGGTCTGTGAGTTGTGTAGTGACTTTTTTTTGCTTATATCAGCTGAATCTGGTGTACTTTAGTTTAGCTTTGATAAAGTGTGAAAGCTATCAGTGTCTTAAAAGAGACATATCAGTCAAAATCCACTTCGCTTAAATACATTTTATTGTGTACTTGGAGTTTGCAGAAGTGCAAAGAAGTTTAATTTAGTCTCTCTCTGTGCTGCATAGGTATTTTTATATTCTGCTTAGGTCAAATTTTTAAATCCATTTAGTTTTCCATATTCCCTTTAAAAAATTTTTGGTACAATAAAATCACAATATTTGCTGCAGAACTGCACTTCCCGATAACCAATTACATGAATTCACAGTTCTGCTGGTTTGTCGTCTTCATTCTCCTCTGGCTCTGAGTCAGACTCTGGCTCCAACATGTAAGGCTGGATGGACAAGTCTTCTGTTGACATCTTTTAATTAATTTGCATCTTTTAATTAATTTGTAAATAAAAAGATTCTCTACTGCAGATTATTGTATCTGTGCTTTCAAATGACAAAATTGGCCAAAAGAGGTGGTGTGGATAATGATCTATGGGAGTGGAGCGCTCTGGGACCTGGAGGGCTGGGTGTGAAGCAGCTCATTTGCATTTAAAGAGACAGCACCAAAACGAGTTGCACTCAGACACACCTCAGAACAGGGAAGTAACAAGAAATTCAGATCAAGGCATTGCAGTTCCACTTTATAAAGACCACAACTATGATTTCAATGTGAAAAGTAAGATTTAAAAGCATGAATGTCCCCTTTAAATACAACTGCTTTTGTTACTTTGGTCACAATTTTGGTACAAAAGTCAACAAATTTTCTAAGGTTATTCCTCAACATTTTCTTTAAAAAACTTGCAGCAAATGACAGATGTAAGACATTATTTATTTTTAAATGTTTCTATGAAAGGAAAATTGTTATTGAATACTCTTAAAAAGGTACATTAATACTCTTTCATAGAAATCACAATGTCTTGTTTGTCAGAAAACTCCACTTTGCTCAACTAAATGACTATCTGAGCAGCTCTTTCATTATTTATATTAGCAATGAGTAAGAGTTCAAAAGCACACTTTTTGCTTCTAGTTAGAAACTTGGAGAGCTGTGTACTCAGCGGAAGTGTGTCAGGCTGACTGACACTGCTGTTTCAGAGCAGTGATGTTACAGCAAAAGTGAATTTATACGTCAGCAAACATTCCATTTCACAGAGCCTTTTTTGCATGTCGCTCTCCTGCACCTCATAAATCAACGCTGCAGGTGCAGCGGCAAACCCAGATCTCTGCCAGACCTCCTGAGTTACTGCTTGTGTGGGAAGGCCACAACTGGGGTTGAAAATGTTATTTTTTTTCAGAAATGACACGGCTTTCAAAACAGGGTTAACCTACTTGTAGGCCAGTGTAGCGCTGAAATGCTGCTTGATGTAGGCCTCCAGAACAGTGTTGAAGTGCTGGAACTTCCTGTCAGCAATCAACCCGATGATATATATCTGTCAGACGAGGAGGTACAGTAGACAGGAAGATTTAGTAACATGTTTACGCAGCAGCAAACATTTTACAAGGCAAATGAGAGTTATATGCAGCATTTTGACAGAGGTGGCTGTTTGGAAAAAGATGGGCATGGAGACATGTTAGACCTGAGACAGCTTGTCAAAAAATCCTGCAGCTTGGGTTGACACGGTGTGCATTTGGAGTTGTTCCCATAAAAAAGTTCCCCAGTAAACACACACCCAGCACACTTACCAAGGCGTCAAACACAAGGATGTCGTAGTCGTCGGTCTGAGAGTGTTCCATCATGATGTTGAACAAGGCGTCGAGTGTGTCCTGCAGAAACTACATGGCAACAAAGCAGAGGGCCAGTGAAAAACACACCCAGGTCCCTCTACGCTTTAACGCAAAGAAAAAACTCATATTTTCACTACTAACCTTGACAACCTCTTCTCCATCAATGATTTTAAGTTTCTCCAGGTTTTCTTTCAGGAGTTCGGGTCTAGTCCTCCATTTAAGGAGCCCCAACAGGCCCACTAAAGAGGAGAGAGAGGCACACAAAGAGAATATTCTCTGTTCAGGTGTTTATGATCTATAGATGTGCCTGCATCTGCTGCCTTGATGATGCTGCTCTAAGCCAACAGAATACAAATTTATTTTTAGACTGAAACAATAACCTTCTAAATGTTTCGGATTTGGGAAGTACATTTTTGTCCATAGGTGGCAGTAGAGAGTAAGCACTGATCTGAACATTTATATGGTTGCAAGTTAGAAACCAAGTCCGGCCCTATTCAATATAGCACCTTAGGCAAGATTATAGGTGGTGCCTCATGTGCAATATATAAACTTCACAGCCAGTTAAATAGTTTTGTCTTTGATATGTTTTATCTTTAGAAACCAGGTTGTCCAATTGAAATAGTTAACAATGTAATTTAATTTATTTGAAACAGAATACAAGGAGTCTACCTCATACCTGCCATCATCTGCTGACAGGAATGATGAACATCTGTTCATGTTGACAAACAGCTGTGGAGCGAAACAGTTCTATAGGGGTCCAGGGGTGTATTCCCCCAGAAAATTTTGTAAATCATCCTGAAGAAATTTATTGGTCATTTACTTACTGATTCTAAAAGCATAACACCATTTCATAGAAACCAGTACTGAAAAATGAAAACTATTAAATGGTGTTATGCTTTCAGAATCAGTAAGTAAATGACAGTAAATTTCTTCAATCCACTCAAAACCGATGAATTTTCCAGCCATTTGAAGAGCATTTGATAAAAGTCTTGAGATTAATAAAACATAAAATCTGTATTTTATGAAGGTAGAACACTGAAAACCAGACTTTAACATGAACTTTATCTGAGATCATAACTGAAACTTCCTTTCTGATGTTGGTGTCTGACATTTACTTGCTCCAGAATCAAAAACTGCAGATCATCCGTGTGATTTGTCTAGAACATGCAGTACTTGCTTATGAAAAAAAACATTAAATGTTTCCAAATCTAATATCAAAACATTTTTAAGAAGACAAAAAAAACTGCTGTAAATATGCAAATAAGTCGTTGATTAGTCAGACTTTTGCTCAAATCCAAGTTTCCAGTCGACATTTGTGCTCAGGTTTAATATGGGACTTATTTCTCATGTATTTGAGCTGTCTGACACTTCCTGTCTGACCATCCTCCMTGTCCAATAGTTCTGAAACACCACACCAAGCTGCACATCTGGTGGGTGGCCCTGTGAACCAGCAAGCCCCACAGTCTATGCTTGTGTGGGCTTGTGTTTGTGCATGTGGTAAAGGTGATTAATATAGCAGGATAATGTTCATTATATTGATGGACCAGCTTCCTCAGGAACAGCTGTTGCTCTGCACCTGTGTCTAATGCACCTTACTGTTTAAAGTGGAAGTGCAATTAAGCGTTGGTGGATGAGTGTCTTGCTTGGATGGCAGCCTGCCTGCTTGTTTCCGACAAACTCACTCTTCACCAGCGACATGTGCGGTACACGTAGACACAAACAGTCTTCCGTATTTTCCTTACAAACCACAACACGCGCAGAGCAATGCAGTTCTGGGAATATTAAACTAATTAACAGACTGCTGATTCAGTGTTAATTGGCTTTATGTCTTCTTTACCCTACATTAACTTTACACAAACCTTTAACCCCAAACCTAAAAATAACACTGCTTCATCAAATCCAAAAACACATGTCTGTATTTAGTTTCTCATTTTAGAGGTGTTTTAAGTCAAAATGTGAGTTTTTCTAAATTCAATGCTTTGAATCAACTCAGYAACATAAAGTGGTGGATTTGTCCTCTAACATATCAACACCCAGCTGATTATTCATCATCTCAGCCTGTCCTCGTTATTCTGTTGATATAAAGGTGTTAATTAAAGGCTCTGAACAAGCCAGGTTTGATTTCACCTTCTCTCTTTTTTTATTCTGTCCATTCTTTAACTTAGTGTATTTTGTGCACACAGGCATGTGTGTGTGTGTGTGTGTATATTTATACACAGGCACAAACTTGCACCTACCGTTCTGGGTGAGTTTAGTGGAGCAGACGAGGGTGGAGATGGCGAAACTGTCTCTGGAGCTTACAGACAGGCCTCCCCCGCCCCCAGACACGCTGCTGGAGCTGCGGTTCAACCCTGCCCCCTTGTGGGGGTCGCTGAGATGGTGACGGGTCGAAGGCAAGGACAAGTAGGAGTTCACATCTTCCATGCGTTTGCTGTCACCCTGACAAGACATGTTAGATTTTATGTTCCTCACACCTGCCATGGACCAGTTTTGTTTATTTGATTCATTTATTTGATTTTATATTTTTTGRATGTCTTAGGACATCTGTGTTTAGTTAAGAAAGCTGTGAATACTATGAAAGCAGACAAAGACAGTGGAATAAGGACACAACCTTGAAAGAAAATAACTGCCCTCAACGATGCCTCAACTATGTCTGCCTTACTCAGCTTAACTATGTAAATCCACTGTGAGAGAAAAACATCAGCAGTTATTACATGGTTTTGTTCTTGGTTATTCATTCAGGAGAACAAAAAAAGATACATACAGAATGTGCAGAGATGTGAAAAATTCTTTAAAAAATGACAGCAACAGAAAAAGACAAAATAAAAATGAATAATAAGGAATTCAGCAAAAATCATAAAACTACTCACAAYAGTTAAAAAAGTAAAAGAACTTTTACACAAAATCTAAGAAATGAAGTGTTAAATTAACTTGTAAAGCAATTTAGACATTTTCTTGAAAAGAAAATGTCTAAATTGGTTGACATAATTTGGTTAAGTAAATTAAACACTTCATCTTTTTTAAGTGCATATACAACTATTTTCACAATGAGTTCTGGTCATATTTAAATGTGTAGCGTGTAACCAGGTGCTACATTTTAAAGCAAAGAAGTAAAAGTATAATTCTTATGTTTTCAATGTACCAAAATAAAAGTATAAGTTATGATAAATTAGATCCTCAAAAAAAAGAAGTACTGTAATGAAGTAAATGAACTTTGTTACATTACACCTGTGACTCTGGGGCTTTTGAATCTCCAGTTACGCTAACATTAYCATTCTTTAATTACAGCATATTGTTCCACGGCTCAATTTATTACCATCAAGTCATAATTCAGACTCAACATCTCTGCTGTCATCAGCCCGTCTGTAAATAATAAATGAATACCAGTCAAACYTGAGTTAGAGATTGAAGCCACCAGTGGCAGAGAGATCAAGAGGAATGCACAGATAATGAGAGATGATCGTGAAAGAGGGCACAGGGTGGCCAACCATCTGGTATTTGAGTGAATCATGAGTAATTAATCTTCACTGCGCTTGACGTGTAATCAATAAGAGGATTCTGGCTCATTTAACAGGAAGTCTATTTGACTTCAATCARCCTGTCAGGTGGACATTATCTCACTGTATCTTAAGCTCTGCTTTGATGACAGTTCTAACTGCACTGACATTATCTTGTTTTTCTTTGTGTACTTTATGTATTGTTTTAACACTCATTTATAATCGTAATTAGGTTTCAACAATCCTGCACGTCTCTGTTATTTTAAGCGTTACAGAAGCCTTTTTTGTGAGCTGCTACTGATTCACATTTCATCTGACAAATATACTTGATTCATTGTAAAACAGCAGCTCAATCCTAAACCTTTAGGATCAACAAATGCCTTTTAAACCTTTATATTACACAAATAATTCATTTTGCACTCTGTGGGTTGTATTTAAGTAACTTTGTTCAAGACATTAAATTGATTAAAAATAATAAATGCTTTTTTTCTGCTAAAGCTCCATCACTGCATCTTACCTTGAAAACTATGAGGTCATGCGATCCGTCCTGCAGAACTGTCCCGTCATCCTTCATCAGGCGTACAAACGCCATAGCAAAGTTCTTCTCGCTCTTATCTTTGGCTGTAAAGGAACAGAAATGGATGTTTGAACAGTTTTGAACCTGATGTGAAGAAAATTTGCTGTATAATAATAATCAAGTCAATGTGATCCTTCAGAGAAAACAGACAGGTACCATTGAAGGAGAGAGGCTAATACTTACACTCCTGGGAAGAGCGGTGTCTGAACATGAAACGCAAATGAATCCTGTGCATTTCTTCCAAAGACACCGTCACCTGCACAGTGTTATGAAAGAACGTAATTAAAAGCACACAATGGTACTGGACTGAGGAAAATGAAGAGTGAACGTGATCTAGAGCAGTAGGTCTTTTTCTAAAAAACTTAAACTGGTGAGTAGAAAAAGAAGACTCACCTTAACTGTCTCCATCCAGCGGGGCTGCTTGATTTGATAATAGATGACAGATCTGTACTCGCTGACGGCCTTATCTCCAGCTCCAAGACAAATGGAGTTCTGTGAAAAGAGATGAAGCTGAAGTATTTCATGGTAACTGGACAGTCTTCCAAGTCATTTCCTGATCAGTTTTGTATATTTTTACAGGACTTACTGCCTCGGTGTTAAACACATGACCTTCTACATTCAGATCCACRGACAGGTCTGATGTTTCTGTACTTCATGCTGCTCACCTGGATCACTTTTCCGTCCTCGTCACAGACCCACATAATGACCTCCACATTCTTTTGTGTCGTCTTGTTGTACTTGTCAAAGTCKCCCCCTTGTAAGGTGAGGTAGATATCATTCCTGACGTCTCCTGGCATTATGATCTCCGGGAAGCCCAGCTTGCGGGCGACCACTGTGCTGCGGTCCACCAGATGAGGGTATTCTTTTCGAATCTGCACTATGTCCCCCACCAGAGGCTTCATGGTGACCCAGAGACCTGAGGAGAGTGGTTAGACATCAAATAAAAGTAGCTTTTTGAATTTGTTTTTCCTGAAAGCAGTTTTTATTTTTAGTATTAAAGTCCCAATCTTTAGAAGCAGTCCCTTGACAATCATAGGAYGCCAGATAACCTATTTAGGTAAAACTTGAGCAGTTTTACAGCCTTGTCATCAGTTCTAAAAACCATAAGCTGATGAAAGTACTACAATAACGCAAAAAAGAAAAAAAATCCATTGTCAAAATATCTTGATGCAATGGACCAGTGCAATATAGTCTAGTTAGGTTAGGGTTAGATTACTATTAAAAACTGAGTATTAGCTGTCATGTTGTGTTATTCTGTGTTGTTTGTTTCTTTCAGTAGTGTTGTAAAGTTCTAAAAATCCAATTTAAAAAAAGAAAAGGGTAGAAAATAGTTTTTTAGATGAATAATTATTGCTAATTATGCTATTTTTCCTCAAACCAGTTTTTTTTTTCGTATTTTATTATAAAAATAGTCCCAATCAAGATTTTTGAAGCAGTTCTTTGACAATCATAGGATGCCAGATCACCTTTTTGGTGAAAATTATGCAATTTTTTTCAAACTTGTCACCAATCTAAAAAAGACAAGTTGATGGAAGCACTATAATAA